TACAATTCTGCCTATATATATATATATATCCATTGTGAATCAAGCTTCCGATAGTTATAGCAGATTGAAGGAGAGAAGAAAGAGAGAGTAGAATAAGTTTGGGATCTTTGTAGAGAGAATCGAGGGAAAAGTCCCTTTATTTGTATTTTTATCTCGTACTTACAAAGACGTGTAAAATTAACAAAGGGTGGGAACGGTCATGGAAATCGTTTCTTATTGCTATTAATGCTCCAATTGATTGTATAGATTTTAAGTCATATTTGTATTACAATTTGAATTTCAACAATGGCGGTAAATAGCCGGTTGGCGTCAACCAACTGAGGCGATCAGCCGAATGACATTTGTGCCCTCTGGAGTCTATGTTTTTTAGTCGAGGTGTTCAGTCATATGATGATCTCGTTGTCTTTTGGCGCGGTCTACCAGAGCGGTAGGTTGTGAGGTGATCGTTCGATATGGACACGAGGTTGGTGAGTTGGTTGAATGTGATCAACTGACTTTTTTCGCAGTGAGTCGTGACTCATTTTTTGTTCGGCTCAAATCTTACGGAGCCCGTGTCTCGCATTTCTGGTTAGTTCGTTGTTTCGACTGGATCTCTCAATCATACAAGGTTTTAAGTGGATCTTCTCGTAGCCCACGCGAGTTATACAATGAGACTCTCTGTCATGATGATTCACACCTCACTTTTAGCAGATCTTGTTGCTATGCAGTAGAGAAATATCTCCGAAATTTAAACCTATCTTAGGTTTTGAGATGTGGTTTCATGCTCGGTCTTGAATCATATGTTAATTGTTTTTCTCATAAGGAGGTCATTTCATCTTGGTTGTTCGTTCTTTTTGAGATTTGTGTAGTTATTTTTGGTATACATACATACATACATACATACATGCATGGATGCATGCATGCATGCATCCATCCATCCATCCATCCATCCATAAGTCATTGTTTTTTATTTTAAAACAAGAGCATTGATATGTATTGAAATATGCACTTTAATTCATAGGTAAGGTGACAAAAATTATAGTTCAGGCTTGGCTACTTTTTATGAGTCTGACCAACGGTGCCTGTTGTCTTATATAACAGTGCCGCATCACTGATATAATTAATGTAATAAAATATCATAAAAATTATTTTCTTTTTATTAAGCTTTCAATAATTTTTTTTTAAAGACTATCATAAATATATATGTAATTCAACTTAAAAACTACCCTCACGATATTAACAGTCTTGACGTACGTTAAAACACTAGAAAGGCAATAGTACGAGCCCTCGTTGCAGTTAGAATCGTTGCTGCAACATGCACATGCAATTGTTCAGCCAATTTGCTGAAACAGCATATCACACAGAAAAAGCTACAGTCCCCACCTGCACATAACCATTCTTTCTACATAAATTTTGATTCACTTTTCACATACACTGAACCAGAAATATGTCAATTTAATTCCCATACTGTTTTAATTGATTTAAATAGCCCCCCATTCAAAATTATAGGGGCCAATTTGATATTTTTATGGACTCCAGAACTAAACTGACTCATTATAAATAATCCTGAGGGCTATTCTGACAATTTACTCTATGCTGAACTGATTCAGGAATTGTATCTCAAAAACAAAACAACGCCTTTAATTCTATGTGCAGTTCAATAAATCAAATATACATAGAATTGCAGAGTCTAATTAGAAATCTTAGCAGTGAGCTCCCTCACCAACTTAGCGGCCACCATAGCGGTCATCCCATCAACAGTATCACGCTGCGGATTGAATTCTACAACATCAGCAGCCACAACATTAGCCTGCAGATTGTGAAGGATATTGAGCACATCACGAAACGACAAGCCTCCAGGCTCTATATGAGAAACACCTGGAGCAAATGCTGGATCAAGGCAGTCCACATCCACAGAGATATAAACCCCTTTTACACCTTCACCCAGTTTCTGCACAATTTGTAATACAAATTATCAATAGTTTAGTGTGATTGTGTAAAGAAACCAAGATATGCAGGCTGTAAATCATACCAGGTTCTCCAACACTTCTCGGTCCCTTGAAAATGTGCGCATTTCGTACTGCTCCACGCCAAATCGTCGTCCTTGCTCCCGACCTTCGGCGGTAATAGATCTGAGTCCAACCTGTACGGCAAAAAATGCGAGAATTAAATTGATGTTTTGAAAGTGGTAAAAGTTTCCTTTCAATTTTAAAACAGAATTCTGCAAGTACTTACCCCTATAATTTTTTCTAAAATATTTTTTTTCTGCTGAACATTCTATTACTGATTAAAAGCAATGCATTTTATATATCATATTTCTGTTGAATCAACAAATTAACATTATCAAACTGATCTTTTTCATTGCACATTAAGCCATCTAAGAATCAATTGGTATAAGTACATAGTTTATTTTGATTTAAAACCATCAAAATCACCATATAAGTACATAGTTTATTTTGATTTTAATCATAACAAAAAAGATGATTAAAATCCATGAAAATCACCATATATACCACAGCATGAAAATTTTCCAATATAATGTCACCAACAAAAGTTTTAGCAAATAATGCTAACAATTCTAGTGATGTTCATACACATTTTCAGACAGATAATTTTGTAGGAAGGACCATGAATAGAATATCAATACAGAATTAAATAATTTAAACCATTTTATATCAGCATCTTCCCTCAAAAAGATTAGAGAAAATATAAAAGAATGTTGTTTAATAAAGCAAATTGAGACCATAACCTGTAATAGTCGACGAGCATGACCTCCTTCCATTATTCGTGCAAAAGAAGAAGCATGGGAGTATATATTGCCTTCAAATGCATCGTAGATATCAGGATGGGCATCGAGATGAAGAATGTCTATCGGTCCCCCAAGCTTTTCTGACACTGCTCTTACAACAGGATATGAAATGGAGTGATCGCCGCCTAAAATTAATGGGTGAAGCGGTTCCTGTAATAGCAGACGGTGAATGCGTATTATTTGAATGGCTAGAGCTTCTAATAGATTAAACAAACAATTTCAACAAGAATGAATTGCTTTTCTCCAGCTACGCTACTTAGTTAATCTTCCATGAATGTTTCTCAAATCAAAATTTGCAAAAGTAGCCGAATAACTTGTTCGACAATCAATATGAATTTATAGATTAATCAATTTTTGCATTTAAATAGCATATTATACCATTTCGCCTGAAGATTTTATCATCTGAAAATTTAACTCCATGATTTCAAAAATCTCTTACTGGTGAACATAATTTCTGATGCAAGAAAACCTCAGTTTATTGATGGGTTTCGTTTTTGTGAGCTTATGGTGAGCTCTAAGATATTAGCTTTTGAAACAAGCCAAGTATATGCTAGTATTTTAATTGTAGATAAAATTCTTTTCCATGAGCAGCATTTTGACTAAAAAGAGATCTTTTTTATCGGTTGAAGTCTTCTAAGAAGCCTTTCAGTCAAATCATCTCCTTGCTAGCGTAATTGTTAGTTGCATATTAGTGTCAGTTAATGAAATTTTTTATATTTATCGCACCTGACAAATGACAGCTTCACATAACGTGATGTATCCAATTATCTTTGTGCATCTAGTTATCTTCAAGATCCATGTTGTGATATCTTTATAATTTCAAGAAAGCTTTTTTAAATACCAATGAGTGATTAATTGTAACTTCCAATTCCTGCATGATCCGCTTTATAGCCATCAAATATTTGTTTTGCTGGATTTGTTATAAACCAACTAAAAAATTCAACTATATTTGTAATATGTGGTATTGTGCAAACAATTGAATAATTCAATGAGACAAATTGATGCGAGGGAACTTCACACATAGGGTCATTCCCTCCAACTATCTATAGTGCCTACTCTTCTAAGCACTTGATCTTGCTTACAAATGTTATCTTCATTGTCTTTAGTTTTTACATCTTAAACCTATCCAGTACATTGCCAAGCACTGAGATTATTATGGATTGGAAATAGATTTAACATTTTTCTTTCTCTTCTGAGAATCATCCTTGTTAGCCACGGATCATTCATGTCAAATTTCTTGGGCAATATATATGTTGAATATAAAAAATATTGTATATTAATAACAAAATTAAATCAATATGAAATAAATTCATATAATAATGAATTCATTTAATTAGCCCTAAAAATATATATATTTAAATTTATTAAATATTTGAACTCAGTTAAGATAAATAGTCACATGATATTATAGATTGTTAACTTGAAATTGAAATGAATGATTCTTGTATGAGAAAAAACATAGTAAAAAGTTCATAAAAATTAAACTAGAATAAGAAAAATAAAAACAACCTTAAGTAGCTATTAAGTTATCAAAGAGAAAGGTGACAACTTAACATAAGTTATTTATTTAAAATAATTTTAAAATTAAAATTTATTACATATAACGAGTGCCGGACACATGCCTGTTAATTTTTTTTCTTTTTTGTTTAAATCGAACACAAACATAACATGTTCAACACATGTTGAGCATATATCAACAAATGTTTATTGCACGCCTGACAAAATACACTTCATTATTAATTTTGAATCAAGCTTTTCCCTTGCATTATGATCAATCATCAGTATGCAATAAAAGCTTCAAAATATACAATGCATACCTCCTTTTTTGGTCTATATATATTCACAAAGCCCAAAAATCAAAAGCTATGTTTGATTGAGGAGGTTTCTTGTGTTTATCATTGATTGAGGAGGTATGTTATGTGTTTATCATGTAAAAGTCCTACATTTAGTCTCATACTCCTATCTCTTTTATTCAAAATTTATTCATACTTTATTCATATTTTTTGTGACGCATCAGGAGAGCAATAATTTTTTAGCTTTATGTTCATACTCACAACAATGGTTGAATTATATACATTTCATTTTTGCATGTGTTTAATTTTCAACTACTTTGTCCAACCTAGAATAATAATAAGCCCATTTGATATCGGAGTCAACCAAACCACAATACAACAACAAACAGCAACAACAAACCTTTATCCCACAAAGTGGGATCGGCTACATGAATAATTTTTCTCCATTGCATCCTATTATCATATTTTCATTTAATTCTAATAGAATAAGATCATTTTTTATACAATTTGCCCAAGTTGTTTTAGGTCTACCTCTGTCTTTCCTAACATAAGTCGAATCTAAATCATCTACTCTCCTAATAGGATCACCAGATGGTTGGTGTTTAATGTGACCAAACCATCTAAAGACGATACTCTCTAATCTTGACTGCCACTGGAGCTACACCAACCTATGACGGATATATTCATTTCGCATTCATTTCGCATTTTGTCTCTCACTCAGCCACCTAAGCATTCTCATCTCCGCAACACTTAACTTTGTTTCCGCAACACTTAACTCACTTAACTTTGTTTTATGCTTCTCTTTTAAAGGCCAACATTTTGTGCCATAGAAAATTACAGGTTTCACCAATATCTACTAAAATTTTCCTTTCAGTTCGAGTGGTATTTTCTATCACACAATAGACATGATGCATTCCTTAACTTCAACCAACCAACTCGAATTCTACTATTAACATCCCCATCTATATCACCATCACTTTGAACTATAGACCCAAAATATCTAAAACAATCAAATCTTTTAATGTTAATCATCCATAGTTACAATTCTGCCACTAGAACTACTACTACTAAAATTACTTTCATGCATTCAATATTAGATCTCCTCAAAAGAAGGCCTTCAGACTCCAATGTAACCTCCATAACTCAAGGCTTTCCTGAAATTTTTCTCTAATCATATCCACAAGAAAGATATTATCAGCGAGAAGCATACACCAAGGTAAATCCTCCTTTAAATGTCCAGTATAAGCATCCATCTAAAAGTCAATCCCTGTCGTAATCCAACTGAAATGGGAAATACTTCGTAAATTCTTCGTCTGTTGGAACACAAGTAACAGCTGTAGGATACATATCTTCAATGCTCCGTCTGTTGGATAACAAGTAACAACTGTAGGATTTATATCTTTAATGACTTGAATATAAATCATATCAACACCTTACTTCTCTAGAACTCTCAAAAAACTTATCTTGGAACCTTATCGTAAGTTTTTTCTAAATCAATAAAAATCATATGTCGATCCTCCTAATTCTCTATGTACTTCTCCATCAAGCTTCTCAATAAATGTATAGCATCTATAGTAGACCTACTCCGCATAAATCCAAACTGAATATGAAAAATTTTTAAATCATGTATTAACCTATGTTCATTTATCCTCTCTCATAATTTTAAGGAATGACACATCAACTTGATTCCTTTAAAATTTGCACACTCTTCTGCATCCTCTTTATTTTCAAAAATAGGGACCAAAATATTCTTCCTCCACTCCTCAGACATCTTTTTAGTTTTTAAAATAATATTAAAGAGTTTAGTAAGCAAAGACACTCCCAAATCTTCTAAATATTTTCATACTTCAATTGAGATATCATCAGGTCCTACTGATTTTCCACCATTGATTTTATTTAAAGTCTCCTAATCTTCTTTTTTACTAATGAGAAGGTATAAATGAAATGTTTTATTATTATTAACATTATTAATGTCACTAAAGTCGATCATATTTTCAGAAACTTCATTTAAAAGTTTATCAAAATGGCTCACCCACATATGTTGAATATCTTCCTCTAAGAAAAGCACTTTTTCATTTTCATCTTTAAAACACTTTACTTAAATTAAATATTTACCTTTCCTTTCTCTTTGTTTCACTAGTTTATACATATATTTTTACCCTCTCAGTATCTAGTCCATTATAAATATCACTAAAAGCATAATTTTTAGCAAAAAAAAAATTTTATTATACTCTTTACGTGTCAACTTATATTTTTCCCAGTTCTCTTAGTTTTTACATTTAAACCAATTTTTATAACACATCTTATATTTTATCTTCTCCTGCGCATTATAAATTTCACCACAAACTATTTTTATTTATAAATTTTTTTTCTTTGATTCTTCAATTACAACTTTTGTCACTTATTTAATAATATTTATTATTTTATCTCAAATAAAATTCAATTTTTTAAGAACATAAAAAATATTGAAATTTTGAAATTTGCTCATAAAATTAATTTTATGTCTTTTAAGTGCCCCAATCTAATTCTATAACAATATTTTATTATATTTTTTATCTTCTAACTTCTCATCTTAAAATCCAGAACTAATAATCGATGTTAGGTCCTAAAATTTTTACTATGAATGAACTTATAATCTTTATATTCTCGACAATCTCATTTTCTCTTAAGAAAATAATTAGTTTGTGTTTTATTAAATTCATTCGTATAAGTAATAATATGTTCATCCATTTTCTTAAATAAAATATTAACAATAACAAAACAAAAACTAAAGCAAAATCTAATATGTTTTTATCTTCTTCATTAATCACTCCAAAATCACAGCCACCATAAATCTTTCTAAAATCTTCTACCACTTTATCAATATGCCCATTTAATCCCCTCCAATAAAAAATATTTCTTCAAAAGGTATCAATTGTATTAATTCTTTTAGGTCATTCAAGATTTTTTTTTTAACATATATCTAAACCTACATGAGGAGCATAAGTACTTGTAACATTAAAAATTTTACTATCAACAACAATCTTTAGGGCTATAATTCTATTTAAAATTTTATTAATTTTTACAACATTATATTTCCAACTCTTATCTATAATTACACATACACCATTTCTAGTGCGACTCATATATGAATACCAAAGTTTAAAACTCAAGTCATCAATCTCCTTAGTCTTTTTCTTTAACACATTTAGTTTCTTGAATATATAAGATATTTATGAACCATAATATCAACTATTTCATTCATTTAATAATATTTTAAAATTTTATCCTAATATTAATTTCATGGACTAAATCTTTTACCCGCATATGTTCTTAATGTGAGAACTCTTGCTAATTTGACAATACACTCGGGCATCG